CATCCCGAGCCCTTGCGTCTGAGCCCCGACAAACCTGCAAGACCTGAATAGCCAGGGGGGGACCCCTGCCTGAAAGAACACCAAATACGTCGTCATCCTGGATTGAGTCTAGATATGGAATTCCTGGCGCGAAGCATCCCCCAGCGCATGGTTTGATTGCCCTAAACCCCAAACCCTAAAGAAGAAAGAAGCCGAAGAGCTGCTCCGAGGGCATGCGACGCTTTTGGCCGCAGCTGGATGCACTGGGCAGCCGTGATCGGGTCCTCTTCCAAGCTTTGCTGACTGTAGGGTGTAATTAGGGTTTTGGATTGTTGGATTTTTGGTTTAGGGTTTAGGTGTTGCGGGTTGATGGCTTTTGGGTTCAGGGTCTGGGGTTTCGATGGGTATTGGGGGTTTGGGTCTGGTGTTGAGGGTTTTGGGTTTCAGAGTTTCTGGGGGCCCTCTTTGGCGGGCTACGAGGAATAGAGGCGTCCAGACACTGAACCGTTCGTCGCCAGCCGTGCAGATCGAGGCTACGATATTCCGAAGCTCTGGGGGCTATCAACTCGATCGCGACAAGATGTTGGCTTGAATATTTTGTGTTGATGTCACCGCCTAAGCTCCCAAACCCTAAATTGCCCAAACCCCTACTGAGTTACTGTTGCCCTTGTAGTAACCCTCTAAGCAACCCTTTCCTATGATCCCTGACAGCGGAGCCCTTGAAAGGACACTGTCTGGTGCTTAGTAGGGAATGGGGGTATGGATCCGTATAGTGGTCCCTATATAATCCCCAATAATAGTCCCCAAGAACCAGACAGAGGAACTCTATTAAGGCCCTATATTGCCTTATATTGTAGTACCCTCATAGATCCCTATTCTAAGTATTAAGGCCTTATATTAAAAGGAACCCTAAACCCCTATAGCCTATAGTATAACCCTTATAGTAGCCCTTATAGTAACCCTTTAAAGAGAGGAACTCTACTACTATAGGGCCCAAAAAGGGACCATAATTTAGAACAACCCCCATATTAAAAGGAGCTCTGAAAAAGGTGGCCTTGCTGCGCTGGGCGCGCGCTGGGCCGCGCCGCACAGCCCTCGGCCCCGGGCCCCTTTTGAAAGGCTTTTTGAGTTTAGGGTTTTGGGTTTTGGGTTTAGGGTTTTGGGTTTAGGGTTTAGGGTTTTTTGGGTTTAGGGTTTAGGGGTTTGGGTTTTGGGGGTTCCCGAAACTACTGGTAGTATCTGGCGGATCTGCTTTAGGATTTTAGGGTGGTCGTAGCTGTTAGAGGCTTTGGGATTCTAGATAGAGGGGTTTTGAAGGTTCACATTAGGGTCCTGATTCGTGACGAGGGGGAATTTGGAGTTTGAGGGTGTCGGATTCAGAGTTGACGCTTCAGGGTTTGGGGGCATTTCGTTGAGGATGGCTTCGGCGAGGGCATCGTGAATTTCGTGAGCTGAAGGAAAAACGCTAGCTCTCAACTCCAGCAAGCGCTGCACTTTAGTTTACACGGAATTACAGAAGTCTCAGTATTGGAAATACTATGAGATCCTAATCTCTGCGGAGTCCATAGCCTGCGGATGCATCAGCATCATTGCCACTGTTCAGCGTGTTTGCTCCATAGTCTAGTGTGCATGGCTCGACAATAAGTGTGTTCCCTAAACCCTCGGCTGTAGTTGTGGAGCCGTAGCACCGAGCTAGCGGGCCCTCTCTGCAGTCATACCGCCGAGTGAGTTTTAGTAGGACTGGCCTTCCTTGTGACGTTCGTGTTACTTCAGCCGGAAAGCTTATGATGCCTTCTGTCTTGATCTGCTGAGAGTCTCCGTATGGCTTTCTGTGAATCGTTGCCGTCCAGCATGTACCCACCATATCCTCTCTCCTAGATGGAGGTTTTTAGGGTCCCTGGTGTTTACGCTGGATAGTCTAAGGTTGTGAAGCCTGGATTCACATAGCAATCCAAGTCTCGCTCCTTGACCTTCGCTATGGAGCCGAGGGCGACTGTATTGGGACATCCCGAAGCCCTCGATAATGACATCGACCCCGAAGAATCGGTGCCACTGGAAAGGCCCAGCTCTTTTTCGGAAGAAGGTGAGGAGACCCCCGTCCAGGCAAAATTCGAAAGAGACTGGTCCAGCTCTGCAGAGAAAGAGGCCTGTCTGGCCCAGGCCCAGGCAGAACCTACAGCATATTGGATTCCTCATTTCGAAAATGGAGCCCATCGGGCCCGAGGCCGTCCGAGCAACTCGTGTCCAGAATGTACTTCACGGCCTGGCCAGGCCCGTGCGACGTCGCGGCGATTTCTTTCATCCGAGCCTAAGCACATCTCGTTTGGATGCATTTTGGTCCCACAGCTGGCACGGTTCTGTTTCGGGAAAGGTTGCCACTTTGTTCTTCCTCCACAACGCCGGAGCCGCGGCCACGGCAGGCACTGGAGCAGCGGTCGTTGCTTGCATCGCTTTCGGATTGGGCGCCCTTCCGGACGATGATAGGAACAGTTGGTGGTGCTTAAGCTTTGGGTGCCTCAGAACAATGTTATTCTGGCGGCCGCGACGGTTTGTATTTCTGGACCGCGTATGCATCTCTCAAACTGATCCTAAACTCCAGGCGGAGGGCACCTTCAGCCTGGGGGCCATAGTGAAGCGTGCTGATACCATGCTGGTGCTTTGGGATCCCTCTGGGGCTCGGCTGTTATCCCACCTTCGGGGCAGGGTGCAGCCACGCCATACATACATACATGCTCGTTGCCTGTGGTGCATATACGAGCTAGCTGCCTTCGTTCGCAGCAGGTCCCCAGGCGAGAAGCCACGCATCATCATCCGGCCAACCATGCTCGGATTCGTGATGTGTGCTGCCTGGTTTGCGTGTTCGTTAGGAGCTTTTGCTTTCCATTTCGCCCAGAACACCATTCGAGTGGATCATTCTAGCGGCCGCACCCAACTCTCCGTGCAGTTCATCGCAATTGCTTGCTGTGGTTTGATTTCTGGTATATCGCGCACCTTGTCCGTGAGTACTGCCGTGATGTTACCATCATGTGCCAACACATCGGACACTTCCGTGTTACAACCGCTGAAAGCTTTTGCTGCTCTATAAAACACACAAGTCCTGGCAGTGACGAGCCCATCATGTGCGACCGAGAGGTGATGCAGAAATGCATCAATATTTGGTTTGGTGGTATCGAGGCTTTTGAACAGCATGTTCAAAGCGATTTACGTGATTTGTTGGTGGATCAGCTTGCCAACCACATGGTTTCATACTGGCGTTTAGCCGAGGCCTCTCCTGTTTGCTTTTGGGCTTTTCTCGACTGGGTGGCACATCACCTGTGGTCGTTTACGCATGTGGCAGAGGATGAGGCATTTCCCTGGGGCATCTTGAAGCTTTTCACTGGCCTGTCTTTCTGGTTAGGGCTGGTTCCGATCCTCTTCCGCATCCAGTTTCGCCTGGCTTGGGCTATGCAAGTAAAGTGTGCCTGTGACCTACTGGACTACTTCAAGTCCTTGCTTCTCCTGCTGCCAGGATTCTCCATCTTCGGTGCGTTTGTCTTCCTCATTTTCTTCCTTTCCGGGCACCTTCCGTATGATTTGGGTGCGGTCGCTCTCGCAGTCATAACGACTCCTCTCACGGCCTTGGTCTGCTGTGCCAAAGCAACAACATTAGACTGGCAAAAGAACCTCAGTCTGAACAGCTGGCCAGGAGTCAAGCCACGTTCCGGCAAAAGAGGCTTGATGAAAAGAGAGAGATCTTTGGTGCATGCCTAGGCTCTTGCGGCATGGCAGTTGCCGGGTTGTCCCCCTCTCGACTTGACACGGTTCCTTGGCCAACTGCAGAGGTACGAGCGTGGATGGCTGTACCACAAGAAGGAACAGATGTGGGGGTTGTTCTAGATTATGGTCCCTTTTTGGGTACCCCATATAATAAGGACTATACTACTATAGGGCCCATAAAGGGACACCATAATTTAGAACAGCCCCCATGTGGATAGCAGCGCAGCCGCAGGAGCGAGGAGGGCTGGCTGGACTGCGATCGTGCAAGCTCTGGCCGCGTACAGCAGGATGATGGCGCAGGCAATCTGCGCCTGGTCTACTATGACCCCATCGCTTGGAAGTGCAGGTACTTCCACGTACCTGCACTTCCAAGCGATGGGGTCATAGTAGACCTGGCGCAGATTGCCTGCGCCATCATCCTGCTGTACGCGGCCAGAGCTTGCACGATCGCAGAGCCAAGCACGCAGGTCAAGGACAGGCCGTTTCGGCATCAATCAGCAGCCGCTAAAGCGGCGGTTGCGCTTGACGGCTGTCTGGCCAAGCTCACCCGCGGAGGGGCCAAACTAATCGCTAGTCAAGGCTCCCCAAAACTAGAGATTGGATGTCCCAAAAGCGTTGACAGCAACAAGTTTTGGAGAGGGGGTGAAGGGTTTTAGTCACGTCTCGACGACAGGTCTGTGCAGGCTTGGCGGTAAGGGGCGTCCAGCTGGAAGTGGTTGAGCATCTTGGATGCATCTGTGCCGGTTCCCTGTCCAAGGGCCCTTGACTTAAGGTTGCGTTTAGCTTCCGGGTTCAGGGCGGCGACAGGACTATCGCACGCACCCTCGCGCAGATTCTTTGTATACGCAAGAGTACTCAAAGTCCCATTTAACTCGTTCATTGCTTGCCAAATCCCCTGAGCCTGAAGGTACAAGCTGAACCCCAACCCCCTTCTCCTGGAACCCTCAAGCCGACGTGCTTACTAAGCCTCTAAAGCTTCTTCGCAGGGTTTTGGGGATGAACTACGATCCGTTCAGTGACTGCCGTATATAACTTGCAAGTTTAAGTCTGTTGTTCACTCAGGTGCGGCTTGACACAATAATTTTGGTCACTGCGGCATTGTTTGGTGTCTACACAGTGGCAGAAACGTCACTGGCACTCACAATGACAGTAGCTGAAAGTTGTTGTGATGGTTGTAGAGGTGCATGATGTGCAAAGGACGTCCCCTGCGATGGTTATCCTTTCTTGCGCTGCCAGGCCCGAAAGCAAAGGCTGCAGGTGGCACCATGAGCATAGCTGCTCAGGCAGCGAGGCGGGGGCCGTGGGGCCGGGTCTCGGGGCTCGACTACCGAATTCCACAAGAAGAAGCCGGCTTCAAGTGGGATATATCCGTTACACTGTGCGGAAGAATGCGAGATCTGACGTACTTGCAGCAGCAGTTGTCAGGGCTGGTGACAGCGACAAGATTCAAAACGAAGACCGCTGCAGCTGCTGGTGATATTGTGAAACCAGATGCTGATAGCCGGGCGAATGGCAATGCTCAAGACGATAATGATTGGTGATGGTCGAAAAGAAGAAAGACAATGCTCATGAGGGCGATGAAGATGAGGGATAGCTGGGCTGAAGGCAGGGGACAATCGTCAGCGGTGGAAGAGCTGAAACATCAATCGTAATGAAGCGCAGTCAGCAAAACGGCGCATAACGACAATGCCTCAGCGGTTCGAAGGACAGTGAAGGGAGGCGTGATGGCGGCACGACGACGAGGATGACGACGACGACGATGCCATTGTCATGATGACGATGGTGTTGATGATGATGACGGTGATAATGCTGATGATGATGATGATGATGATGATGACGATGATGATGGCTATGCCGATGTCGCTGACGACAAGCGGGCTGTTGCCAGAACGATGGTGTTGCCAAGGGCTCGAGGAAGAACAACAGCAGCAACAATAAGAACACTACCTGCGAAGCCAAGTGCAGTTACAAAGGTTTTAATCGTCAAGTATGCATAGCAGAGGCAAAACGAGCAGGATTCCCTTCGGAGCATTTGCCGCAGCAGGAATGTCGGAGGTTGTGTGCCGAATAAGATCCACGTCAGCGGTGTGCCCACTACAGTGACCAAGGCCCTGGGAGTTGTTGCTCGGATCTTGGCTTCGTATAAGCATAAACGCCGGGTTACCACGCAAGGAACGGGAGGTTTACTTTTTCAATGAAACGGCTTAGATCGCTTCAGGGGTCATGTGCCAGTGGATTCGTCTCCTTGCTGACAAAGGTTCTTGCTTAGATCGTTAAGTAACAGTCTCGCTCTTATTGGCTTGTGGTTCAGCTGTAGGTCCCAGTTGCTCAAAAAGTTTGGCCCATGTGATGCAGAGGCATGTCGGCTGCTGTCGGGCTACCGGTTCTGGAATGGGTTAGGCAGAGCCATCCCGTAGTCCTCGTGACAGGACCAATTCGTGCAATACTTTGCGCAGTACGGCGCCATTGCGAAAGTGGCTTGGCAGAAAGACTTGCTAGTCAAAGCGCCGGCCCCTCCAACATACGTAGCAGCACGGTCACACACCCGTCCTCTACGACAGCCGTCATTCACCAAGTCCGAGCCAAACATCGCAGACTTAAAAGAAACTCCAGAAACCACACACACTTGCGGTGGCTCGGATGGTTTGTGGCCTTAGTCAGCCTTAGTCGCTCACCAGACGTTGTGATGATTGCTGGAGGCGGCAGGCTGGTTGTCTGTCGATCTTGTCAGAGCCAAAATTCCAAGTAGAGTTGACCCAGCCTCGACCAAACACATGACAGCATGATGCGACTACCACCCAGTAGCCGCAGCCTTCGGGCATCGCTGCATCCGACAGCCACCAGAAACAAAGTATGGTGTTGCATGTTCGAGAGAGAGAGGCATATCGAAAGCGCGGTGAGCTTCCCTGGAATCTGCCGGGGAACTGACTGGTGACAAGCTTCGTCAAAAGCAAAGGCTCTGAGATGGACTCAGAACGCGTAGGTAGGCCAAGCAGGCCAGTATTTGGTGCACGGCGGGATGTGTGATGGAACTGGCATGTGATTGTCTCCACTCGACAGAGGGGTTATGGCCAAATCGTTAGCAGCATTCAGCAGCTAATGGGCTGGGGAATGCGAGTGCGTGAGACAACAGTTTGAGGGATTGTTATGAGTATGTCGGCAAGTCTCGCGGCACAGACTTCTCCCAGTCACTGGAAACTTGGTAGTGATGGTGCATGGACGAGCTTCCTGGGCGAAGTTTTGCACGAAATTCGAATCGAAATTGCCTCCAGGATGGCAGGTGGCGAAGAGCGGTTTTCGCAAATTCCACTGAAATTCCACGTTGTGCCACTAGGACTGTGACCGCGGGCCTCCAGCAGAATGTCAATAGAGCTCATATTGCTTAGTCTCAAAATGTGCTGCATGCAGAGTAGTCAAGAACGAGCCGTAGGGCCTTTCCCGGCAGTTGTTGGGCTGAGTCCTAGCCGGCGTTCCAGGGATACGGCAAGGGTCACCCGGGACAAGCGAAGTCTTGGATACAAAGATGTCAGGTGAAGGTTTCGTGCCCGAGTTTGTGCAGAGAAGAAAGAGCACCCTAAACCCAAAACCCTAAACCCCTAAACCCCTAAGCCCTAAACCCCTAAACCATCTGCCGCTGCGGTCTGCAAACTGATTGGGGCCGTGTTCGGAATTCCTATTTTCCCAGAAGCATCGGCGAGGGGTGGTTTTCCAGTGGAGTTCAGGTAGTCCGGTCCATATCATGTGATGATACGGTGTCTCGATACCTATGTTTTCTCTCACTTTCTTTGACACCGTCCCCGCATTTTAAGTCAAGCACTTCCAAGCCGGGCCGCCGGGCCGGAGCTGGCGAGAGCTGCCACACCCTGTTCTGTGCCGGCGCGATCCATTGTGCCGCGTCCGGGTCAGGAAAATGGCCCCCCCTCTTGAGGAGCCTGCGATCGCCACGATCTCTTGTAAGTTCCAATCGCAGGTCCTGCTCGATCTCGACGCCCCGCGTGTCCAGATGGCGACGGCGAAACGGGGCTGCGTGTCTGGTGCCGCGACGATTTCCGGCTCGCGACTGCAAATCGCACAATGACTTTGGACCGGAACCGGACAGGGGTGGGAAGCCACATTTTCGCATTGCCGCAGGCGGGACCGCTTGCAAACTCCAACAGATCGGCCCTGGACTGCTGCGAAAATCACAACCGATGCATGCGGCACCACGGATCCGCGATCGGGTTGTGGCGGGTGGGGCCCATGTGCGTGTGGTGCCGCTACGATTCTGCTTCCGACATGCCCCCTTCTGCCGGGATTCTGAGAGCCGGCATCTTGGGGCCGGGCGGGACCTAGCTTAAAGTGTAGTGGGAGTTGGGTCATTTGTTCCAGCGGAGTGTGGCATATGTGTTGCTGCTTGTTTGCCTCCCAACAACCATTTTGCTGAGTCCAGCTCGCTCATAGCTGAGTCCTGAACCTCCACCCGTTGCGCACTTCGTTCATGACTGTTCAGGCCACTGCAGGCATGTGGAACAACCTCACCCGAAGCTGAGTTCGGTAGCGCTTGGTCTTTGGAGCCTTGTCGGACCAAAATGCTCTCACAAGTACTGGCGGATTCAGGAGCGGGCCAAATTCATGACCACAAGCACTGGTCGATTCAGGAGCACGCCAACACATTCATGATGCATCAAGTGCATGTCGATCCGTCTTGTCTTGTTGCCTTTACTGGCAAAACTCTTTCGGGACACCCGCGCTGGTTGAATCATGCCAAAAGCCTTCGATGGAAGCCCGACGCGAAGCAGCTAAGTAGTTAAGTGTCTCTGGACTCTACGACCTTAAGGCTGGTAAATACGATCGCACTATGGCCGCCTGAGGCGGATCTCGTTGCGGCGAGGGGCTTTGGCTTCATAACCTACAACACCGTCGAGGCCAGAAAGAGGGCATTGGGTCGAATGGGTCTCACTGGATAGGAAACCATCCGGAGCTGAGTCGTGTCAGATGTCACTAGAGAATATGAACCTTTCAGCGATGTCTTGTGCCCGCTGGGTTTTCTATCGGTTTCATAAAGTCCCCGGACATGTTGCAGTGAACTCCACACCTGGATCAAGGCAATCATGTATAGGTCTTGCACACAAAATTTAAAAAACTGAACAAGTTTGATGCCACTGTTAAACTTTGGACTGCGTGTGGGCCACCATCGGCACTGCACCACAGCTTCTCTAGTCCTCGTGACAATGCGCCTTGGAGGATTTCCTTTTCAAGAAAGGCTCTGGGTACCATCGTCACGATGTCAATTCATGAGGCACTCGACCATCCTCTCCCGCTCGGCTCAGGCTGTGGATGCGGTGGAAAGGGAGGAGCATCACTTCGGCAGGAAGCAGGTGAAAGCCCCGACCTCGAACCTTTGCAGTTCGCTGCCTGTGTGAGCCTGAAGCCCTACACGTGGGCTGGGGCTTCCGGAGTACCAGCCATCAATCCTGAAAGATGCCTTGAAGAAGCATGCGTGAGGTCCAGCCTTGCGTGCCTCGAGAGCGCATGGCTGCATACGCAACCCGGCGAGAAATCCGAGTAGTGGTGAGAACAGAAGAGAACAGCAGGAAGCAATAGCCAGTGGTGGCTGTCGTCGTTCTGGGCATAGTGGCCGAAGTTATGGCAACCACGAACTTTGGACAGCGTCGGCTTCCTGTGTATAGTTGAGCCGAGGAGACCGAGAAGCATCGTCTCTCCACAGCCGCGCCCAAGGCAGAGCAGGGGATGTAGGGCCTTGGAGATGGCTTAAAGTCTGTGTGGTTCAGGTCGTTGCACCATTGCATGTACCTAGTACCCGTTGTGTGACATAGATTGACAATGAGCGCGGTGTTCTTCAGTCTAGGATCGGGGGCCACATTGACATTGTGGGTCAGTTGCCAGCAGCACAGGCGGCAAGTTTTTTTCAGTGTCTGATTTGATCTAATGATTCAATTCTTGTGTGTGCATCTCTGGAGTAAGGACGTTTGACGAATAATGGCCATATCTTCTCAGTGCTGCTGTGCGATACCGAGAATGTGGATATACGGTATACGTATGCTCATGAAGAAGCAACGATAGAGAGATACGTCCTGCTGCACAAGTAACACTACCGAGTCGTTCAGCGGAGACTGTCCTCCAGAACTCCTTCGAAAGAGCGTGATTGCTGCCAAACTGTTAGCTTGAAGTTTTCGTGCATGGGAGACTTCAATTCCCAGCACGAAGAAAAAATGTAACTTTGAGAAGAAGGCGCGACCCCCAGGCATGAGGTTCCTTCTGGGGCGTTCTGCGGATTCGATTTATGAAGGGGCACTGCAAGTTCCTGGTCTTGAGAAGGCTGCCGAGAAGTTGGCGGTGCCGCCAAAGGCCGTGGCCACGGCACCATCGGGCCACGGGGCGGCAAGAGGCAGCTTAACCTGCCGTTGATCGTGTGCCGGAGCTGCCAAGTCGAGACGGGTGGGGAGGGCAAGCTTCGGCTGGCCTGCCTGCATCCCGTGGCTGAGGTGGCAAAGGCAACTCGATTCCTGGCTCTGCCGCGCCCTCACAGCGAGAGATATTCATGGCAGATTCCAAAACTACTGCATGGAAGATTCCAAAACTACTGCTGATGGCTGATGGACAAAATCCTGCATGACCCTAAGGACTCTAAACTATGGGAACTATGGTATATTCCTTATAGTGGGTAATGCAGGATTTTGTCCATCAACAGTATGCCCCGTTGGTACTTTCGATGAGAAGGACAGTGAACGAACTTTGGCTTTGGCGTTCTGAAGCATGCGGATTGCCTGCGAATCCTTTGAAGGTTTGTGGAATATTCAGGACGTCAGAGAACTTCAGACTCAGAGCGGACTGTCAGGTGAGTTTTTGTTTGTTTGTGCTGCTCACGCGTGGGTTTTCGGTATGCGACCCCGGACACCCGCATGAAACAGCCGTCTGTTGAGAGGGGTGGCCGCGAATCGGCCTTCCTGGGAAGCCGTCCTCGAGTTCCATGAACGAGGGGGCCGACAAGAACGAGGCTTGGCTCAGGGCCTCGGGTTCTGTAATGGTACCACAAGGGCTCTAGAATTGTACTTGGGTATGTGCCGCAATGGTTCTATGATCAGGGTATCATAAGGGTCCTTGAGGGTACTACGAGGGCTCTATGAGGGTAAATTGGAAAGGATTGGTGTGGGGCTTGCTGCTGGGCGAGGGTGTTGAATCCCGTGAGTTTGTCCTTGGAGCTACCTTGAGACAGATTGGGCTAAGGGTATACAGTTAGTCGGGTCATGACAATGATCATCCTCGCACAAGTAGAATTTCTGGTAACCCTTTGCTATAATGACGACTAATCCGCCCTCTTGTGTGAAGATTTGCAGATTTGGCTTTGGCAGACGCAGTGGTGGGTGCAGAACAGTTCTGTTCGGAAGGGTTCTCATTGATCCTTGAGCCGGGGCGCATGCCACTCGTGCGTTGCATAGCATTGCCCAGATGTGACAAGCCTGTACAGTGTGCTTGGGATAGCAGATGTGGTAGCAGTTGCCGTGACTGTTTTTGCCCATGTCGCGCAGTACTTTGATCGAAGGCTCGCCCACGGTTGTTTTCCGGGCTTCGGTGACCGCAGGTGCCACGAAACCAGATTTCGCATATCTGGCTACAGTACATTGTGGTATGGTGGTATGGTCTAGAGTCTATCCCCCGAGCGCACATAAACCTTCTAAACTCGGAATCCTTGCTGCGCAGGCAGAAAACTCCGCTCAATTGCCAGTCCCGACGGAGGCAGGTTTCAGCGACCCTGCTCTTTGTTGGGTCTGTTTGCAAGGTCAATGCCGCTTACCATAGCAGCCATAGCAGGCCGGTGATATACCTACAGCAATTTGCAGCAAAGGAGCATACGGGGTCCGAAGTCCATGTCTGTCCATGACCTTCTGGGGCTGCAAGGCTTGCTGCCGCTGAGGACAAGTGGTGAATGATCCTCACAGCTGGTTGCATAATCACGGTATCGCCATGTTGCGCAACTCACAGGGGCTGTGTGCTATCCGCCAGGACTGTTAACAGTATCACGCGAATCAGAATATCAAAAGACGATCGGCAGCGACACATGCAGGTGATGAGGCGACTCATGGACCACGCCGAGGCGTGCAGAGTGTTAGACCGTCAGGATCTGTTACTAGTAGGGTGCCTTTCATGTGTCCACTGAAACCCACGTGGAAGATTGAACAGCCCTCCGTCATCAGCCGTTGCGCAGTGCTCTGGTCTTTGTCTTTGTGGAATCTGCATGCCTGTGCCATTGGAGGAAGATGCAGCCATGGCGGCTGCTCTTCTTCGAGACATGGACCCCAGGCACCAGCATGTAAGCCCTAGGCCGCAAGAAATTAGGTGCGACATCTTATCTAACGGACGTTGAATGTTTTGAGTGCCCATCTGAAGCCCAAATAACGACTGCATTCGGGATCCGAGTATCAAGACACCTCAAAAGAAGGGGTTCATCGATCAGCACAAGAGCCTCCAGTCCATCTGCTTTTCTTTCAGGCTGGTCGTACCCTAAACCAGAAACCTTCGACACTAAACGTCAATTAACCCTACACCCAACAGTATACACTCTTAAAACCCTGAACCCCGTCATACCCTTATGGCGCCCTGAAAGAACCTGTCCAGGAAACACCCTTGAAGGAACCCGTATGGCACCCTAAACACTCAACCCTATAAATTCAGGTTTCGGTTTGCTTCAGGTTTCGGTTTTCATTTAGGGCTCAGGGGATCTAATGGGTTTAGGGAGGTTTCGGTGGTTTTTCAAGTTCCCGAAACCCGAAACTGCGGGACAAGGATTCCCCCATCCGTATGCTTGCTACTATCCGTCTCAGGCGTTCTCCGCATCTGAGCTAGCTGCATTCGACGGCCGAGAGCAGGGAAACCCGGCAGCTCCAATCTCCCGGCTGCCAAAATCTCCGCCCCGCCCGGCTAGCTCTCCTCGCAAAGAACGCTGAGTCTAAACCCGACCCTAAACAACTCCTGCGCTCTAACCCCTTCAACCTGAACCTAGACCTAAATCACCGACCACCGATGTCCTGCGACCATGGCCGTGAGAGCCGCCTGGGGGTCAAAGTCAAACCGTGAGGTCAGCATTTTGACCCGCAGAATTCAAGAGGCCACCCGTGGCCCACCGTTCCGTTAGCTGGTGGGAAGAGAGCCTCTCGAAGAGGCTTCAATTCACACCGTTTAATTATCGTCGCGCGAAGTGCGAGTGCGGGCTAGTTGCTATTCACGCCACTGTGGGTAGAGTGCAGTGAATCTCAACCTGGTTCCCTCACGCCAACTGACAAACGAGCATCTTGGTCGCGGGTTTAAAGTTTCGGGTTGAACGGCAGTTTTTTAGGCAATCTACTTAGTAGCTGAGTGGATACACTTTACACTTTTTGGGATAATATGACCCACTATAAAACTAAAAGTGTACACTTTTTGGGGGCTTATGAACTCAGCTACTACGTCTATGGCACGGATGGGAACCAGGACAATGCTCTCAACTCATACATCAGGACGCCGCAGGATTCAGTAAAGACAAGGTTGGGTTTCCAGTGGAGGCGTTCAGGGCATTGACGGATTCAGGATTTAGGTTGATTGTAGTTGTAGATGCTTGCATGGATTTGTGGAGAACCCTTCATCCTTGAGTTCCTTCGCTCGGCCAAGTCTTGCTGCTTTCAGCGTGAAGTTCGGCTTGGGCTGTACGGCCAGAGGACCCAAACCAACTAGTGTCATTGCCTACCAAACGCTACGCTAGCCACTGCCCTATTCAAACCCCACACCCAAGAAAATGTCCACATAAACCCTAGCCCTAGACATCATGCCAAATGCACGTTCGGTAGTTATTTGTTACTCCGACCCCATGACCTTTGCCGAGGATGGCTCTTAATGTGATTAACTTGGGAATTCAAGGTTTCTGACGGGTGTTCTTGAATTTTGCAGGATTCGGAATGGTTCCACAGGGTTTTCATTGTACGAGAAGCGCACACTATACCGCCAGAGCCATTCTCATCGTGAAGGCCTTGATCTACATGAAGCCTGTCTTTGCGGAGACCGGAAACCCTACACAAACCCAGCAACCAGGCAACATCCTTCACATGCAATGAAGAGGTCATGTCTGACGTTTGTTACGTAGGATGTGGTGTGTGGGGGTTCAGAAACCCGCATCGGCCTTACGGGAGTGTCAAATCCCCTGAACTGCAACCCGAAACCCTTAACCACTGACCGTTACTCTCAACCGTACCGCAGCCTTTCATCTCTGATTTGTACATCTTTGGCACGCTGTCGTGGAAGCCGTGTGGCACCGATTCTGCCCTGAGGCCTGGACGAGGGGGATCGATTTGAATGAATCGTGTCCAAGGTATCCTATGTACAGAATGCTCACAAATAGCAGCGAAAGACTCTTCAAATAACACCTCTGCAACATAGACTTGGCGAGATATGCCTTAGGCCCGATCCCAACTAGTGCATGACACTGTTCCGTGAAACCTGGTTCTTTCCAACATTCACTGCTTGTCGAGGTTTTCAGGCAGACATTGCCATCATCAGCCCACAAGTAGCTCCCCACATGTGGAACAAAGGAACGACTGGCCATGTAAGGCAAAAAGGTTTGGGAGGCTACCTGGTGCCTTGCAACTGCAGAGGCCCAGCGAGCACTCCGCACAGCGTCAGCAGTAGACACGCAGGTTCGAGACGAAACATGTATGCGTACACATGTATATGTACTCGAATTCAATGGTCCGCTGTTGGGCTTTTCTGACCTCATATGTCAGAAGCATTTCGGCGTTGATGGTGATGACTTCTGACTACGCATGAAGGGCCGAACAAGCAGTGCGTAGGTCGAGGTCCAGCGGTTGAGAGTGACACGTTGCAGATTCACGCAAAACTAGGGCTGGCATCGACTACTTCACAAGCCGTTTGCTTTCACGCAGCAGAAAGATGGATGGGGCTCATTGCTTTTGCTATTCGTATCTCGTCGTCATCTTGGAAGCGTTTGACCTTACAGAAGCAAGCGGACAAATTGCGGCATGCTTCTGCAACCCGGATGCCAAATGCCACAAATTTGGTACATGATTTCATAATTGTCATAGTCGTCGTAGTCGTGGGCGTGGCGGAGTGATGTAGCCTGGTGACAGTCGTAGTAGCCGTAGCAGTCGTCGTAGTTGTCGTAATGTCGTTGTCATCGTAGTCGTCATCGTCGTCATCGTCGCGGTCGTGGCAGTCGTCGTAGTCGTCAGTCCAGTGCCGTGCGATCCCGCCCAGTCTTGGTCCCGGTCCCGATTCGTTTCGTTTTGTCCAGCCGCCTCTTGGTTCCGTCCGCATCTCGTCACCGTCCCTTCTCGTCTAGTCCCTGTCGAAAAATCTCGCCTGCACATCGGAGAATCAAATTCTATCTTCTAAAGTTTGCAAAGAAATTTTCTCGATTTCAGTGGTAATATCCCTATACAGTGGCACTGGCAGAGCTTGAAGTCCCTCGCCCTTATAAGCCCCTTCTTGGCCCACTCAGCTGCTCCCAGGCTCCTCACGCCATGGGCCTCAACTGGCATTGGTTCTACGCAGAGGCCATCGTGCTTACAGACATGTTCTCGAATAGCAACGAGAACCCCTAAACCCAAGACTGCAAGTTCTGATCCACATCCATTCGGCATCCCTCGAAAGGTTCACGTTGCCTCGTAAAGCTTGACATCCTTCAGATAACATCTGTGCAACACAGACTTGGCGTTCTTAAAGCCCGATCCCAACTCATGCATGACACTGTTCCGTTAAATCTGCTTACTTTCAACATTCATTGCTTTTCAGGCACAGCCATCATCAGCCCAGACGGAGCTCCCCACATGTGGAACAAAGGAACGACCCATGTAAGGCAAAAAGGTTTGGGAGGCTACCTGGTGCCTTGCAACTGCAGAGGCCCAGCGAGCACTCCGCACAGCGTCAGCAGTAGTAGACACTCACAGAATTGAGACGCAATCCGCGAACCCGCACCACGTAGCCGGCTGTGGGCGACAGCCCCGCTAGACGCGGCCAATCAGAGACACTTTTCACCCCTAAAAGACCTTCTACAACGCACCTGCCAACGTGCCACTAGATCCTCAAACCCCTTCAACCCTGGATGCCTCTTAAAGCGGACAGGCAAAGAAGCTCGACGAACAATCCTTTCGGTTTTTGGTGGACTACGTGGCTTCTTGGTCCATGATGGGGTCGCGGGCCGACTTTCGGATTTTGTTTGGTCGTATCCAACATTGCACTAGTACTCATGGGGTATTGGACGAGCCATGTGGAAGCATGGAAGCCTTGATCATGGGCTTGGGAAGCACCCGGTCACCCTGAGCCAACGTCTAAGGCGGACTTGCTGGACAAGGTGCCCATCCCAGTCATGGCTTAAGGGTGCTTATACCGGTTCCTGCTTGAAGCTTTGATTGATGTCTAGCTTTAGGTTTCGACCTACTGTAAACACTGACCCCTGAAATCTGAAGCCTGTGTAGCGTGAACGCCAAACCACAAAAGCTCAACCCCTGAAAACCCTCGAAACCTAATTGCTCCGGAGCCCTGGAACACAAAACAATGACACCCTGAAGCAAAAGACCCTCTTCTGCTTTCATAAAGGAGCCTTCGGTGACCAAACCGCAAAGCACTGAAGCACAAAGCCTAAACTTTTAAAGCCCTGATGTCCCAAAAAACCAACTTGCCGAAGCCTGAAGTCTCAAGTCCCAGAAACCCAGCACCCGACAGCGCAAATGGATTCTTCAATGGTGACTGTTGCACGGGGTTTGTGCCGCAAAGTTTGAGCTCCAGTAGTCGTTGCAGTAGTAGCAGTAGCAGTCACAGCAGGAAGTAGTAGTAGTAGTAGTAGTAGTAGTAGCAGTAGTAGTAGTAAGAGTAGTAGTAGTAGTAGTAGTAGCAGTAGTTGTAGTAGTAGTAGTAGTAGTAGTAGTAGTAGTAGTAGTAGTAGTAGTAGTAGTAGTAATAGTAGTGGTAGTAGTAGTAGTAGTCGTAGTGGTAGTGGTAGTAGTGGTAGTGGTAGTAGTGGTAGTGGTAGTGGTAGTAGTGGTAGTGGTAGTGGTAGTGGCTTTGGTAGTAGTGGTAGCAGTAGCAGTAGCAGTAGCAGCAGCAGCAGTAGCAGTAGGAGTAGGAGTAATCGCAGTCGTAGTCGCAGTCGTAGTAGTAGTAGTAGTAGTTGTTGTTGTTGTTGTTGTTGTTGTTGTTGTTGTTGTTGTTGTAATACAGGGGCCGACAGCGCAGACGGAGGCAAGATACTGGAATATGCCTTCACCGCTCGATTACTACCAGTAAGCTCTGACCTGCTTATCAGTTGAGCGAAGATCAACGCTTTTTGCATGCCAGTGCGGAGTTTGTGTCACGAAGCCTCTCACACAAACCATCAAACCAAAAGCCCGAAAGTAACCAAGCTCCAAAATGTCGGAAACCCAAACCTCTGAAATGCCTTGGTCCCTGCAGGAGCCCGTTGTGACCCCGTCCCTTGGATTTTCCGATCCACTGGGCCTCAGCAAGCTCGACGACCCGGAGGCACCGGGCTTTAGAGACAGAATATCGGTTGTTAAGGATTATTTATAGGGCCTCCTCGGGGTCTTGCAGCACATATGGAGACGAATCGATCAGACCTTTATGTCATAGGCTTTCAGGGTTGGATTGGGACTTCCTGACAGCACGGGCAAAGTAGGCTCGCATGTAGTACTGCGGTACCGAGTACCGGGCACTCGTGCGATTAGATAGCCGTCGTCGTCGTCGTTGTTTTCGAATGTCCGGTGGTATTGGTTGCTGATTGCTTTATAAATACATGAACACATGAGTATATGCCAATAGAAGCAGCATAGAGAATGTAAAACACATACTACACATATACATACATATACATACATACACATACATATACATATATATATATATATAGTACATATATAGTTTTCGATACAGTCATTGCTACTGATATGGGCATGGGTATGGATGGAGGCCAATGAAACCAGGGATACAAGGTTGCTCGTTCCACCTCGCCAGACCTTCTGTATTGGGCTGCTTCTCCGTACAAGCTCCACAGTACCAGCAGCCCTCAAAGCAGGCCTCAAGTCCCCGATCCCTGCCGCACTGGGGTTTTGGCTTTATTGAATCCCACTGCAAGCGCTCGAACTCTGCACGCACATACATACAATCATATGCAGAGGCTGAACATTGTGATGATATGCAAAGGCTGTGAAGGTTTGCAATCGTTACCACGTCGAGGAACCTGTGCCTCGATGGCTCATGCTACTCTGCTACTCTGCGCAGATATTCAGAGGTTCCTCTGGCCACAGGAGACGCCCCGGAGTTCTCAAAGCGTTTAAACAGCCTCTATGGTCTCAACTCAGGGCTGAAAGCGCCACAACTCCACAAGTGTGCCACAATGAGTGCAGAGCGTCTGCATGCATGCCGTGCCCCCTATCACCCGCCAAAAGCGGCTTGCAGAGCGAACCATGATTGAAGCCAGAGGCCAGCACCAAAGCCCCGTGGTAGGGACTCAACCCGTAAAGCCTTCGGCGCATGCATGTTTTCTAGGATGAACCCCCCGGTCAGGACCCTTCATCTTCGAAGCTCTGAAGCCAAAAGCTCCTCGGCTGGTATCGGAGCTACCATAACTACCCCCCCGGAGCCCCCCAAGTCGCCAAAAGCTGGAGCCTTGGCAGGACGGCGAGTCGTCCAAGTCACATGATGCGGAGGAGGTGAAGCCAGAGGCCAGCACCAAAGCTGGAGCTTCCGTGGTAGGGACTCAACTTCGGGTGTTTAGGGCGTAGCGCGTAGAGGCATAGAGCTTCGGGCGCGAAGCTCCTGGGTAGTGTGCGGCTTCGATGTTTCCCAAGTGCCTATAAATCTTCTTGGTGTTTCTTCTGTAGCCTGAACCCCCATTCTTGCATGATCATGCGACCCTGCTGCATGCTAGACGCCGAAACTTGCAGACTTGAAGCTCTGAAGCCAAAAGCTCTAACCTCGGCTACGAGCATGCACTGCTGCAGAACTACCTGTGGCTACCATAACTACCCTTCGGTCGAAACATATCGGAGCCCCCCAAGTCGCCAAAAGCTGGAGCCTTGGCAGGACGGCGAGTCGTCCAAGTCACATGATGCGGAGGAGGTGAAGCCAGAGGCCAGCACCAAAGCTGGAGCTTCCGTGGTAGGGACTCAACTTCGGGTGTTTAGGGCGTAGCGCGTAGAGGCATAGAGCTTCGGGCGCGAAGCTCCTGGGTAGTGTGCGGCTTCGATGTTTCCCAAGTGCCGAGCCTGCATCCACACTTCAAAACCAGAAGGATCCTGGAGAAGGAGGCCTAAGTTGCTGGCAAAAGTTGCGGATTGAGACACAGATATTGGACTCTTCAAGACCCAGCCCCGTGGCCTGGTCCCGCAAGCAGGACCCCAGCAAGAAGCTGGAGGAGAAGGAGGCGGCTCGCAAAAAGGCCGCCAAGGCAAGGGAAGCATCACTTTGGGACTACGGAATGGGATGATGGTTTCGGGTTGAGAACAGACGCGTGGGAAAGGGCTGAGAGCTTCTTGGTAGTGCTGTGTCGGGACATACCTTCTGCCAGGCTCAGCAGCTGCATACTGCCCAGGATTCCGATTCCCTTAATCTTCTTGGTGTTTCTTCTGTAGCCGGACCCCCCATTCTTGCATGATCATGCGACCCTGCTGCATGCGAGACGCCGAATGCTTTAGGCCTGTAGGCTTTGGCTTCAGCTCTTGGGCTTTCAGGCCCCAAGTCCCGAAACTTTCCATGGCTTGAACTGTACGTAGGTAGACACGCCGAACATGTTTCAGATCGCAATAATCCAAAAGCCGGCTCACCTCAAGCTTCCGTTGCCCTGCGGAGGCTGCCGCCATCGGTGTGCGTGCCGCTGAGGCGGAGGCAGAGCTTTGCGCAGACAGTGCAACTCTTCGGGCACTTGAAAGCACGATGTGGCTTTTACTGGCTTGGTTCTACAGAAGAATCGTGATTCAAAAGTCTGCGGGCACGGGTCCTTGCCGTGAATTCTGTTGGGTCTACATTTGTGCCAATGCTTCCCTCAGTCATGTACACTTTGTAGAATGTGGCGAGGGGCCAGTCCGCATCCTGTTTACTCGAGTATGAGTTGTCCCAAATGCACCTTGCGTGGATGCAGGAGCGAACTTTGGTGTTTCCTGGAGTTTGGAGTGTACTTGTTTTATGCATGGCTTGGCTGACCCAGGCCTCTTTCAATTTTAGCGGTGCGGCATTCAGACATCTGACGCTGCTTAGGATCATGGAGATTGACTTCTTGCCTGTCTGCT